TGCGGAGGTCCAGGCCACTGGCCGATCTTGCAGCCTCGTGACCCGGGCTGGGGCACATGCTCCTTACACACCTCTGCCGCCACTCGGCGCTTGGGGATGCTGTCACGCCTGCCCGATGGCGATGGTCTTCCTTGGGCTGCTGCCCCACCCCCAAATGGACGACGGAACATGCAGACTTCGAGGGGGGCACGCCGTGCGGACATCATGGGTGAGCCTCACCGTCCCTGAGCCAAGCCACCGCAAACCTGGGCTGTGTGTGAGACCTGGAGTCCGCGCCAACTGGGCCCGGGGTGGTGCAGCTGGACCCAATGGAAGGTCCTGGGTTCACGCCCCAGGATGTGCCTATGTTCTGGGCCTGCAGGGACCGGAGGTGGGCTGTGGCTTGAAGGCCCTGTGGGGAGGGTCCCTCCCTCCACCTCCCATCATGGAAGAAAAAAATGAATAAACAAAAATATTGAAACAAGGGGCCAACTCCATGGCCCAGTGGTTAAGGAAGCCGGATCTCACATAGCTGACCATGGTTCGAATCCCAGCCCTAGAGGCTTGAAAGTTGTACTGGGGGTGCTGGCAGGCGGCTGGTTAAAGCGCCCGCCTCCCACATGACCAGCCGTGGTCTGAGTCTCAGGCCTGGGGTTTGCCTTCTCACTTTCTCTCTCTGTCTCTCTCTGGTTAAATTAAAAAGAAAAAAGATGAATAAAATTAAATAACACAATTCTATTTTTAAGAAAAGTTTAAAAAAGAAAAGAAAGCCACGCTGGTCACGGCGTGTGCCCAAATCCGGACGGGATGGGGAAATGGAGAGAGGGTTGTGGCATGGACACGCCATGGGGATGTCCTCTCCATCTCCCTCGGTCTCTCTGTCTCTCTGTCTCTCGTTGGTATGCTCAGACATTTCTGACCACTAAGCTAACTAAATAAAGGTTTTTTAAAAGAATGGTTTCATTTTATTAATTATTATTATTGTTTTTTTTGGAAAGAGATTTTTGCTAGAGGGTACATGCACTCGCCAAAAAGACAGAAAGCAAGAAATCACCCTCGGGGGGTTGGCCATGCTGCAATCCCTTCACATACCCAGCATGAGTTTTAAGCCACCAGGCCTAGGACTTGAACCATAGTCGACTACGTGGGAGTCCGGCAACAGAACCATTACACTATCTGCTGGTCCCTAATTTTATGAATTATTTTTTAAATGATGATTTATTGTTTTAATTTGCCCAGATAGAGACAGAAAGAGAGAGAGAAAGCAAGCCGCCAGGTCCAAGATTCAAACCTTGGTCAGCCATGGAGTCAGCCGTGGAGGAGCCCAGCACCCGCCGCCACAGCACCTGCTGGCTCCATGAACAGTCCCTGTTTTGGGGCCAGTAAGTGGCATGGTGGGTAGGCCACTGGGACTCCCACATGGTCGACTGTGGTTCAAGTCCTGGATCTGGCAGCTTGCTTTCTCACTTTCCCTTTCTTTCTTTCTCAGTTTCTCTCTGGTCAAATTAAAATAATAATAACAAATAAAATTAAATAAATAATTCATTTTTTTGGGGGGGAGAGGTTTTTGCTATAGGGTACGTGCGCTCGCCAGACAGACAGAGAGAGACAGAAAGACAGAAAGCGAGAAATCACCCCCCAGGGGGGATGGTCATGCCGCAATCCCTTCTCCTCCATTCTCCTCTCGGGATCTTGGGCACGCACGCACACACGCCCGGCGTGAGTTTTAAGCCACTGGGTCCGGGACACGAACCGCGGTCAACTATGTGGGAGTCCAGCGACATATCCATTACGCTAACTGCTGGTCCCAATAAATAATTCTTTAATAATAAATAATTATTGTTTTGTTTTGTTTTTGAGAGAGATTTTGCTATAGGGTGCTTGTGCTCGCCAAGGAGACAAAGAGAGACACAAAGTGAGAAGTCGCCCTCCCAAGGGGGCCACACTGCAATCCCTTCTCCTTTCTCCTCAGGAGTTTGGACACACACGCGCCCAGCATGAGCTTCAAGTTGCGGTCTATGACTCGAATTGCAGTTGGCCATGTGGGCTCCAGCACCTTAATTAGTATGCCACCGGTGGGCCCCAATTATTATTATCATTATTTTTAAGAATGTGTTATATGGCACATGCACTCACCAGACAGAGAGGGAAAGTGAGAAAGTAAACCATGAGGTCTAGGACTCAAACCATGCATGGTTGGTCATGTTGGAGTCCAGCGACTTAACCACACCACCTGCTGGCCCACTAAATAAGGTGTTATTGTGTTTTGTTTTTTGTTTACTCAACACAAAATAACCTACTCCAGCTTTGTCAAGGTGACTGGCCACACCCACAGCCAGCTCGGCCTCTAGCCTGGAACTTGCTTCTGACCCGGCCCCAGCCTGGGCTTCCGTGTTTGCACCAGGGTGCACCCACCCTTCTGTGGGCGTCTGTCAGCTCCCCCTCTTGCGACTCTCACGGCCGCTCGCCCTCCAGACCTTTGGTCTGGGCTGCGGGGCTCAGGACGCCTTTGGCTCAGGGTGGCGGGCACAACCGCGGGCAGGTGGAGGTAAAGGCTGAGGGGCCGCCTGCGTTGGGAGGCGCAGCAGAGACCTCTCCAGGCAGGCTGCCCCCTCGCGTAGCCGGGCCTTGAGAACGTGTGGCCTTCCCGACACGGAGGCCCGGCATGTCCTCGTCAGCCAGCTCTGTGCCGGGTGCAGGCACGTCCTCTCTGGCCCCACCACCTCCGTGCAAAGAGCGCGCAAACGGCAACAAGTTCTTCTTCGGCAAACATCGCGGCAGCTGCAGGGTCTGGGTGGAAGCAGGAAGAGCCACTACGTAAGTTTGGAAACCGACACGGAAGGTCATCGCTCCCTCCACAAGATGCGTACTGGTTAGGGTGCGGGCTGGGCTGGGACGGCGCTGGTCGTGGGGCCTCAGTCCACAGAGCTTCTGGTCAGGAGCACCGACAACGGGGAGCAGGGGCGCCTTAGACACAGAGAACAGGGACACCCTAACTGGGGAACAGGGACGCCTTAGACACAGAGAACAGGGACACCCGAGCCGGGGAGCAGGGGCACTGGGCCCACGAATGCACACGAGACCTGAGCCGGAGGTGCTGGACCCCACTCAGGGCGGCAATGCCTTGTCCCTGACCTGAGCGTGGGCAGGAGGGAGCGGCGAGGGGCGTGCAGCGGGAGGAAGGCCCTGAGGCCGAGGACGGGCTGGCAGACGGCGAGATGCCTGGGTGGACGGCGATGCGAGGAGGGGCAGACTTTTGGGGGCCTGCCAGTAGCACAGGCGCGAAGGCAGGGGGAGGGGCCGGGCCTTCCTGTACAGTCTTTCTCTATCCTGGGAGCACCCAGTGGAACTGGCACCTGGCAGGCACAGGGAAGCCATGGGTCATGATCCTGGGCTGTCCGTGTGGGGCAAGCGTCGCGCAGCCCAGGACTGGCTTTACACAGAAATACAAGGCGGGGGTTTGGATTGAGAAATGGTGTGACCCTGCTTGCATTTTTTTCTTTCTTCTTCTTCTTTTTTTTCTTTTAACTTTGCTGTAGGGCATGTGCACTCGCTGGAGACAGAGAGGGAAAGTGAGAAACCCCTAGGGAGACAGCTCCGCAATCCCTTCTCCATTCTCCTCTCAGGATTTCGGGCATGCACGCGGGCGGCCCGCGCGCGTGCCGGGGCTTTTTTTTTTTTTTTTTTTTTTTTTTTCCAGTTTCTCTTTTTTTTTTATTATTATCATAATCTTCTTTATATTACATTGGATTACATATAACTTTACATTGACTTCCATTGCTTTTTCAAAAGGGAATGCCATGCATGTCAGTCAATACAGAGGCATCGATCTCCCCGCTTTATCATTCAAAGTCTTTTCCATGCATTTCCCAATAATTATTATTATTATAATTTTTTAAAACAGTCAATCACTATTTCTCATTTTGCTTGTTAAAAGACTTCACCCATCATGAAATACTTCCCAGACCAGTCCAGTTGAGAATACTATACACGTCATCTTCAACAGATAATAAACCATATCTGTTTCTCACTAACATCCCCTCTATTGTTCACTTGCTATCTTTCTCTATCCTCTTCTCTTTTTTTTTTTATAGTTTATTTTTTATTATAATTTTTTTTTTCCCATCGCAACACACAAATGAATATGAATTTTCCATCCAATATATACTGTGCGTTGGCTCAATCAAGCACGTCAACATATATGTTCTCAGCAAATAATTTCCCAATTCTTGTGTCCTGCATACCTTGCCTTTTGT